TAAAAATAGCACCCCCTACCTTTGAAAAAAGTCAGCAATACTGTCCCTAACTCAAAATTTGTATTGAGGGGAAAAAAACTATTTTCCTTTTTGCAGTGTATTTACAAATAGCCTATAAATAATACAAACTTCAGAGTTAAAATTGTTTATTAACTGCATTCTTGCCAATGAATACATTACAAAATGTAACAATATTTTATGATACTTTCAACAAAATCAAATTAGAAATGTTTTCTCAAACAATCTGACACTTATTCAAAGTTTAAAAAGAAAATCAAAACTACATCTCTTTTGAAATTAAAGTCACTAATTATCCTATACATTTCAGATAAAGAGATCTCATTTTTCCACCCATGGAGTCAACTCACAGTTCCTCTAAAACTCTTATTTTTATATGAACAAGTGGGTATTCACACCTATAAAAATTTTTGAATGTGGACCTCCTCCATTATACAGATTCTAAGAGTGCTATAACATGTAAGAAAAACACAATAATTAAGCTACAAACTACATAGTCTATGGGCTTTATCTATGAAATATATCCAGAATCCATCACTTATTATCTCTCTACTGTCACCCACTTGCCCTGGAGAATCCCAATAGCCTCCTACACTGATTATTCTTGTTTCCACTATTGGCTACTCTAAGTCTTTCTCAACACAGTAGCCATGTTTCTTTCTTTAAAGTAAAGAACAGAACTTGTTGCTCCTCTTTTTAAAACACTCCAAAGGATTTGGCTATTTTGTTCACTACTAAATTTTTAGCACCTAGTACAATGCCTAGCACATACAAGGTACTCAATATTCCTAGAACGATTAAACAAATGTACAAATAGAATAGTCCTTAATTATATGCAGCAGCCAAATATTTTCCAATGCCTAAATGTGAATTCCACAAAAAAAGACATAACCAGAAGATGAGAGATAATCCAACTTGCCTAAACTCAACTAAAACATTAAGGTTATAAAACAGTATTAATCAAACTGTAGTACATAACACCTCTGAAACTCTTATTTTTACATGAACAATTGAGTAATTCATTAAGTATCTGTTGAAGCTACCGAAATGGAAAACAAAATTTTCAAATGTTAACCTACTCCATTACACAGATTCTACAAAACTACAGTAACAACTGTAGTGCATGGGCCACATGTGATAATGTGAAATAATTATATATGGAAATGTTTACATATACCTTTTAAAATATGAGAAAGAAAATTCAAAAATAGTTGACTTAGGAAAATGCAAAATTAATCAGAAAATAAATTTACTTAAAATCAATGTGAAGAAAAAATTAGGTTAAGTAATGAACAGAGGGTTAGGACACAGCAGAATGAATAAATGTGAATGACTCAGGTTTGGGAAACAATGCCTTAAAAGAGAACTGCACAGTAAAGATACCTCTTTTAAACCAACAAAAATCCCTTTATTAACACTTCATGACAGGCATGCCGCAAACAATTCTAAGGTAAGATTTTCTCTGCACTTATCAAAGATAATACACCTGACAGTATTTCATTTTAGTCCAAAAATGCAGTCATGATGTGTACAAAATTGAGGCATGTACAGTAAGTCATATTATTCCAAGGCCCATTTCCCAATCCTAGATCATATGAATTTTAAATGACTACCACTGACTTCAAGTACAAATGGATCACCACAAATGGAAGAACACACTTCAGAGCACACCACCAGCAATGGGTAAGTAACATTATCTTGTATAGATCAACACATCTGCATCAATGTCAAATTAGCCTCTTCATAACTTCACATGAAGATAACAAGGTTAAAACACTACGGAAAATCTGACAGACTTACTTGATGACAAAGTTCTTTATTTTCTTTTCTACAAACTATTTGGGAAATGTAGAAAGATATAACAGGAGAAAATGAAGTCATCCCCAGGCAAACAGGACTATCTTAATTTATCTTTGTCTGTCTTTCCCCTAAGCACAAGCATTACCCTACACAAAACTAAGACTGTTCTATAGATACACTGTTCCTTTTAATCTTTTCTTATTCATGAAAGGCAGTAATTTTTTTCACTAAAATAATTTTTTTTTTTTTT